TGCTGTACCTGCCTGCCAATAAACATCTGCATGTGTGGTAGAATTTCGTCTGGAAGAAGCTAAGCCCTACCCACCCACAACCACTGGCAACTACCAGTATCTATCAAAGCAGTCCAGTAGCTGTGTATTCAAAATTGCCTGAGGCCCATGATACACACATTAATGAGCAACCGATACTGATTATTTATACATAATCAGAATAATAAAGGATGGCAGTCTTGTAGTTAAGAGCCCCAACTTGATTCAGATAGACCAGTGTTCAAGGCCTGGCTCCACCACCATGTAATATCAGTCAAGTTCATTTATTTCTCTGTACTTCAGTTGCCTCCCCTGCAAAAGGAGGCCAATTAGAACATTGATCGTCGCTTTAGGTTGTGAAAAATGTACGCTATAACAGCGACAGGTAGGTAGACAACAGCAAGCACATTGTGGACAGGAAATAAACTTCAGCTATTGTTACTACTATCCTTAATGCTTACACTTGCCTGGAGTAAATCCTGTCAAGCTTTATTCTCAAATTGCCCTGAAAGCACTGTCTAGACTTTTCAATTACACAACTCATTTCACCACTGACAGTGTGTACTGTCATTGTCTGTAGCTAGCTTGCCCCACATTTCCACCCCCAACTAGCCCTTAAGTTTCAGGAGAGCAAGGAAGCTTTGTTCATCATCCAGTCTTCAGGAAACTGCCACAGCGCTGGGTACCCACAAAGTGTTGAGTGACCACTCTCTCCTGTCATCTCTCCTTCCATTAGCATCCATTAGCAACAGCATAAGCAAAATCTAAGTGCTTATCAGAGTCTGTGCAAAAATAAGATGACATGGAGAATGTCCAGGTGCAGGTGGGTATTGGCCAGTAACAAACTAAGAGTTTTGGGGTTCCCTTACTCTGTGCCAAACCATGTTTTAGAGACTGTATGTCTAGATCCCATGTAATCCTCAAAATAACCCCAGGAGGTATTATCACACCCATTCTACAATTGAGGAAAACCGAGGATAATAGAGGGTAGGTAAAATGCATACATTCACACCAGCCCTGGTTGTCCAGATTACCCAATTCAAACCCTGACCTGAGTCCGTAACTCTTTTCTGGCTTACACATTTTTCCTAAAGGTCTTCACTTAAAGTCCCCAAAATTTCTATTACCAACCTCAAATTTCTCCCAACTTTTTTTTTTAAGATTTTATTTTTAGGTAATCTCTACACCCAATGTGGGTTTGGAACTCAACCCCAAGATCAAGAGTCGCATGCTCTACCAACTGTGCCAGCCAGGTGCCCCCAAACTTCTCCCAATTTAAACATCCAACTGGGGGCACCTGAGTGGCTCAGTCAGTTGTCTGCCTTTGGCTCGGGTCGTGATCCCGGGGTCCTGGGATCGAGCCCCGCGTTGGGCTCCCTGCTCAGCGGGGGAGTCTGCTTCTCCCTCTGCCTCTGTCCCCTGCTTGTGTTCTCTCTCTCACTCACTCTTTCTATCAAATAAATAAATAAAATCTTTAGCCTCCTATCTCACCTAGTAAATGGCACCATCATCAATCCAGTTGCCGGGGACAAATCCAGAATCGCTCTCATTCCCACACCCCACTTCTAATCCACACAAAAGTCCAATTCTACCTCTAAAATTAGCCCAGAAGCCCACAACATCGCACTGTAAACACGACAGCCTATGGTCAGGTAAAACACGCTCACCTCCTCGGACCATAGCAACAGCAGATGGCCAAGATTTCAGCTCCATCGGGAGGCATTTGCGCTCACTGCTACAGCCTGCTTGCACACAGAGGCGGCAGTTAAAAAATATCCACTGAATGTACAGCTCTGACTGCTCTCCCTGCCTCCACCCTAGTCCCTGATACGGCTGAGTCTTCACAGCTCCCAAAGTGATCTAAGCGTAAATCAAACCACAGCCCTCACTGGAAGAGGAACAAAACCCGAACTCCAAACGTGGCTGACAGTGGCTGGCCACATCCGGACCTGCCTGCCTCTCTACCTCATCTGCTTCACTGATGACACCCTGGACTCCCTTCTGTTCCTCGAAAACCCTGAAAGGACCCTTACCCAGACCTTGCCATGGATGCCTCTCCTTACTGATCAGTCTCAGTTCCAGGAGCATCTTCTCAGACAGGCTTCCCCAGCAAGCTACCCAAAGCCCCTCTGCCACCAGGGCTGGTTACAGTACAAGTACTGACCGTTTCATTGTTAACATGCTTATGGGATGCCCCCACCCACAACGGGACGACTGAGGGCAGAGATGATGTCTGCCTGGCTCACTGCCCTATCCCTAGCTCCTGGGACATAGTAGGTGCTGTGATATTGTGATATAACCAGAATCAGAGATTTGGTTTTTTTCCCAGGTATGGGAGGCCCAGGAGACTTGTGACTGGCATCTGAAATTCGGGGTAAGACAGTCTTATCCGACTAAGCCTGTGGTGTCATAACTGAATTGAATTGTTTTAAGTCCAGTTGGTGTGCGGGGAGTTGGGAAACTGGTTGGTGTGGGGGCGGGGGGACCCTACACATTTATCAGAAATGCTGTGCGAGGGAAGCCTGGGTGGCTCAGTCGGTTAAGCATCTGCCTTCAGCTCAGGTCGTGATCCCAGGGTCCAGAGATTGAGTCCCACATCGGGCTCCTTGCTCAGCAGGGAGCCTGCTTCTCCCTCTGCCTGCCACTTCTCCTGCTTGTGTGCGCTCGCTCTCTCCCTCTCTCTCTCTGACAAATAAATAAATAAAATTTAAAAAAAAGAAATACTATGAGTAAAAACAGTTCATAGGTGCTCAAATTAAACAAGATTGGTAGAATAGAAAAACTCATTCATTCATTCATTATAATTTTAAAAAAATTTTAAATGAAAAGATTGGAAGACTTAGTTTTTTTTTTTTTTTTTTTTTT